GATGTGCCCTATTATTCCACCCAAATTTATCTTTTATTCATTAGATTCCTGGAACTTTCACCACTTTTATTCTGTGTTACTTACAGCAAGAAATGTAAGAATCTTCACTAAGATTTAGCCAATTTAAATGTGTGTGATCAGAGGCTTCAGGCACAGTGTGAGACACCACAAACCCACTCTGGCTGAGGTTTAATATTCTACTTACAAGCAAGATATGATGTGGAGAATTAATATTTTGCTATTTGGAGAATTAAAACCTTGCCCTGGCTCGAATTAACCTTTGATTCCAAACTCCCCCCCATGGCAGTGGAGTTTGTTTCCCTCAATATCCTGCTCAAGAAGCTCAAATGCCACCAGTCCCTTGGCTTCTGTCCCAGGCTCTGGGTGGGTTCAAGGGGCTGAAGTGCTGAGTATTTTTATACAACAAAACACCAACCCCCTCAAAAAGCTACAACAGCAAAACAAGCTCAGTACCTACAATAAATACTTTCAAACTCTCATCAATTTCTGTTTTCAATGAGATCCAACAGTAATTAATGATTTGTATCTTCAGGACAAATCTTTCTCACAGCTAAGTTTTGCACAGCCTGAAGTTGTTGCCAGCAAATTCTACTTAAACTGGCTTGTACCAAGCAGGGATTTGATATTCTGGAGTAATTCAAAAGGTTACCTGCAGTTGTACTGCCAACTACCATGGTCTCCCAGCTTCTTGGGCTTTTATCTATCAAGGAATGTCGTTGATAATCATTCCTTCAAACAAAGAAGTGAATTCTAGTGAATTCTAGTGAGATATTTCAATGAAATATCTGTTATTTCTCATTTGATTTAAAGGGGTTTAAAAGATGCTGAGCTTTAGCAAGTCTTGATACACAGGATAAAAGTATTTATTTCTTTTCACCCAAGTGTGATGTAAAGCAGCTGAGCTATAGATTCACTATAGAACTTTTCTTCAAATGTTTGCTCCTTCAAACCAGAGAGGAGCACATTCAGTGCTGATTGTCCTGCTTGTTTCTGTGTTCTGTTCATGAAGAGTTGGGGAGAACAAGGCAGTGCAGGCTCTTGAAGGTAAAAGAGGAGGAAGGTCTAGAGGAAGCTACACAACCTTCTTTTGTTGTTGTTTTCAGTCATTTGTGGCAGCTTTTAGGTAGAAGCTGCACTGCTGAGAAGCAAGGAGCTGTGATCTGACCCCTAAATATCAACCTCGATTCTCAGATGCAGGGGATAATCTTATATTTTCAAAACACTTCCCCTTTTCCTATTATTTCAGTTGAATAATAAAAGAATAGGGGTAGATAGGACTGAACTGAGGCTTTGTGAGAAGAATTTCATATTCTGGTTGCTCCCTCCCTTCAAAACTTCATCCACTGCTGCTGTTCCAGATGGTTCCAGCAGCAGAATTGAGGTCTGGCTTTAGGGAGAGCTGTGAGGGATTTCCCCTCCTTGGATCCACCCTTTGCACACATTTTATGTTATAGTTTAATTATCATTTCTGGACTTGTGGCTGCTCCCTTTCTGAGGGAAACACCAGCCCTTTGTTCTGCTGGAACAAAGGAACTCCAAACCGATTTTGGGGTAATTAAATCCTCATTATGATGCTGACAGTTCCCGTTGATTGGCACCATGTGTCTGTTCCAAACAGGACCCGCAGGGATAATTAATTGTGGCGAGCCCATTAATTTGCCATTTGCTTTGTATGACATTTTATACAAGTATCAGGCCAAGAGCCCTCCCTGGGCACAGGAGGTGTCTCTGCTCCTTGGGATTTCCCAGAGCATCCTGAAAACTCTGAGCTCTGACTTGCTGCTCCCAGGAACTGGTTGCTTTTAAAAATCTTCATCTCAAGCCTCCATTAAAAATTATGTTCTTAAGGCAAAGGCATCTTTGGATGTGTGAAATATTTCAATCAGGAGAGATAACAATTATTTATGAAGTTGTTTTGCAGATAGAGAGGAACAGTGTAGGAATGGAAATGACCTGCACACCCATTTGGAAAAGGAGCCTTACTCACATTTAGGTTCACATGTACATAAATAAATCCAAATACATGTAAAAACCCAGTTTGATTAAAACATAAGGAATTTTTTCATTTTTATTTTACAGTGAAAATACAGCTAAATAAAAAGGTTTCAATTTCACTATTACTGTGGCTCAAATGTAAATATTTTGTCTCAGTTTCATCTTAAAAATGTACTGTTTTAAAAAGCCTTTCATTATTTATTGCCCTATATTTTTTATTCCTTTTTAAAATCATATTATGCCAATTTTTGTCCTGGTTCTCTTGCAATTAATTCCTCTTTGGGGTGATCTAAGAATTCAAGGATTTCATTTGGGTTTTGAATGAGAATTTGTAAGGAGGGTGGAATTCATCCTAGGTAAAATTCCACGTTCATCTGTCAGGGAGCTTAGAGGAACTTGAATTTTAAGGATGTATTTCATCACCTCTCTGTGTAATTATGTCTCAGTGATGTTTTTTGCAGGCATCAATTATGTCCTTCCTCTTCTTGATTAAAACAACCCTTCATTAAAAGCCACCTCTCTTCATTTGGATGTGTTTTGATGACAGAACTTGAGGCACTTTGCAGGTCTTGGCTAGCTGAGGGTGCTCCTTGCTGGATCACTTCTCTCCCAAATCAGCTGCTGGTAGATTTGAAGGATAAAGATTTGAAGGATAAAGATTTGAAGGATAAAGATTTGAAGAATACAGATTTGAAGAGTACAGATTTGAAGAACGAAACCAATTCCTAGATGGGGAGGAAACATGGATGAGCTGGCAGCAATTTTACATTTAAGCAGATAATACTCAAAGAGTTTCTATTGACTTCCTGCCCCTTTTTTTTTATTTTTTTGACTGGGAAGATCTATCTGTATTAATTGAGAAATATGGAGATAAATTCTGGGGTTTGGGGTTTTAATTGTTTAATTTACCCTGTTAATTCTGCCACTCCCCATCTAAAGAGGGAATTTTAAACACACATTTTCTGCATGGATGCATCCATCAGGAGCAGCAGCTGCAGCTCTGGAGGTGAAACCTGCCCAGGTGCTGCAGGATCTGTGCAGGCACCTGGAAAACCTGGCCATGGTTCAATATTTTCATTTTCCTCTGTGGCTCCAGCTGTTGGCATCTCCATCCTCCCACTCCATCACTACAGGAATTTCCCTTCATCCTCAGCTTCTGTGGGTGACAGCAGAGACAGAGCAGATTCCTCTTTTTCTTTTTTAAATTTCATTTTATTTCATTCAAATGTTTATATTTCATATAAATATTATATTTTTAAATTTATTGTTATATTTCACATAAATATTATATTTTTATTACAGATTTATTCTGTATCATTTATCTACTATATTTTATTGGCTGGAATTACAGGATCAGACTTTATATCCCTGAATTTATTGCCATGGACAATAACTGAACCAAATACAACAGGAAGAATTATTTTATATATTTAACTGTAATTTGCTTGGTTTAAATTTAATACTAAACCTTTCTACTAAATTATAATTAAACTATGTGTATACCTATGTATATTCATTATATAATCAATTGAAACCAGTGAAAATCAATTAATTCATTGTCACTCACAATGTGGAGGGAGAGGAGCATAAATCTGAGGTTGTAATAATTTATAATTTATATTAACTTGAAATACAGATTTCAAAGAAATCTCTGCTCAGGGTGTTGAGTGTTAAAATCTTTTATGTGAATGTCTTCATGTGTGCATCTGTTGCTTTAATTTGCTTCAAAATGTTGAGGTTTTGAAAAGAAATATTTTAATGTTATAGTTCCAATTACAAAAGGAAATTCCCGAAAATTAAGGTTAACAGGTAAAATAAAGGTTAGAATTTTTTTCAGGAAAAACCAAACAAATTGAAAAAAACCCATTTATTTAGGAATTGTTTTATTTTTGGCTCATGTGTGTTGGTAACTAATTCAAATAATTTCTTCACCTTTGACTTTAAGGAAAAGTTGTTCTAAAATGAAAATTTTATTGCTGACCTGAAAAAGTGAGACATTTGTTCATTTATAACAAATCCAAAATACTGGGAATATTCTGGTTTTTTCTTTTGACTTCCTTTCTACCTTAGCCCAGGGTATTTTCAGTAGTGAGTAACGGGGAGTCCTTGAGTCAAATTAATTTGGTTTTAACCCATTGTTTCACCAGTAATGCTGTTTTTCTTCAATATTTTCTTTTTCTTTTTGTAATTAATTCAGTTTTATCCCAGTATTTCATATGTAGTCCCTGTTTTCTTCAATATTATATATTTTTTTTGTAATTAATTCAGTTTGATACTGGTTTTTCATAGGTAATGCTGGTTTTTTTTTTCAATACCACCACTTTTTTTTTTAATAATTTAATTTTATTCCAGTGCTTCATATATAATGCTGTTTTTTTTCCATATTAACATCTTATCTTTTTGTATTTAATTCAGTTTTATTCCAGTATTACACATGTAGTGCTGTTTTAGCTCAATTTTTGTCTGTAATTAATTCAGCTTTATCCCAATATTTCATATGCAATGTTGATTTCTTCAATATCATAACCTTTCTTTAAAATTAATCTAATTTTTCCCAGTATATCAGATGTAGCGATATTTTAGCTCAATATTATCATTTTTTTGTAATTAATTAAATTTTATTCTGGTTTTTTATATGTAATGCTGTTTTCTTAAATGTTATCATCTTTTTGTTGTAATTATTCAGTTTTATCCCAGTATTTCAGAAGTAGCACTGTTTTAGCTCAATATTATAATTTTTTTTGGTGATTAACTCAGCTTTATCCCAGTATTTCATATGCAACATTATTCACTTCAACACCATCATCTTCTTTTAAAATTAATTCAGTTTTATCCCAGTGTTTCATACTCAAAGATGTTTTCTTAAATATTTTCCTTTATAATTTTTTCTTTTGTAATTAACTCAGTTTTATCCCAATATTTCACATGCAGTGCCTTTTCAGCTCAATATTGTAATTTTTTCCCTTCTGTTTTTTCCATGAAAGACGAAGGGTGCTGGCAATTTCAGATGGGATTGAGCACATTGGGAATCTGCGCTGGGAGCTCGCCCTGTGCCTCCTGGCTGCTTGGACAATTTGCTATTTCTGCATCTGGAAAGGGACCAAATCCACTGGAAAGGTGAGGTTGAAATTCTGTGCAGCAGCTGGAATGAGTGCTCCAAATTATTTATATTTATATTTATATTTATATTTATATTTATATTTATATTTATATTTATATTTATATTTATATTTATATTTAAATATATTTATATATTTCTATAAATATATTTATATTTATATTTATATTTATATTTATATTTATATTTATTTTATATTTATTTTATATTTCTGTTTATTTTATATTTCTGTTTATTATATATTTATTTTATATTTCTACTTATTTTTATATTTATTTTCTATTTCTGTTTATTTTCTATTTCTATTTATTTTATATTTCTTTTTATATTTATTTTATATCTATATTTATATTTATATTTTTTATTTTTATTTTATATTTTTATATTTATACTTTTATTTATATTTTTATTTTTATATTTATATTTATTTCCATCAGAACATACGAGTTTCACACTTGGGAGGTATACAAATAGCAAAATTAACTGTAATTAAGGATTGTTTGTTTTTTTTTTCTTTGTTCTTTTTTGGTTTTGTGATTTGATTTTTTCCTAATTCTGTTAGGCTGGGTGGTTTTGGTTGATGTTTACTAATTTAGCAATGAGCTTTATTGGCCAGTCCTTGAACTCTGAAACCAGATTGTGTTGATTTCTGTGCACAAATTCTGCAAAATTTGGATTTTGAAGAAAACTATCAGGAGGCAAAACTCTCAGTCCCACAAAAGAGTTTCTGAGAGTTTTGATGCACATGAAAAGAGAATTTAGAGATACAGATTGAACAGCAAGAGGAGAAATAATGAAAGCACTCAGACAGGGCTTTATTTCTTTATTTCTTTTATATATTTATATTTATTTATATTTAATGATTTAAATTTTATTGATGTATTTATTTATTATCAAGATGGGAATATTATGGGGAAAATTACAAATATTTAGCACTTTTTTGAGTGGATTCCAGTCATCCCTGGGAGCAGGGAGAGGGAGCCATGGGATGAGGGAGAGGCTGCCCTGGTATCAGCCACAGCTCTGAGTAGAATCTATGAATTATCAGCCACAGATCTGGAGGGAGGATCTTAGAAAAGCCCTGGTTTCTCATGTTGGAACTGAAGGAAACCACAAACAACACTGGTGCATTCAAACCTTTAATTTTCAAATGTTTCTTACGTAGTTTGGGTTGTGGTTGGGTTTTTATTCTTTTTGTTGTTTCTGTTTTAGTGACCTCTGTTTATAAATGAAATATTTGGAATGCCGTGGATTTTTTGATATTTAAAAAACGCCAGGGTGTCACCTGCACACGTCTTTTATCCTCTCACCATTTTGGGCTGCTCCTGATTTCTGGTTTTCGTGTGTTTGCCAAGCGTGCCGCTCAGTCTGGCGCCGCATTTCCCACGGAGGCATCGCCACACGCACCGAGATCCCTGCAGCCCCATTTCCACAGGGAAAACGCTGAGAAACCCTGCCCAGGGCTGAGGAGGAATGGTTTAGAGGAGGGGGAAAATCCTAAGAGGGGAATCTGGAGAAGCCAAAGGGATCCATAGGAACAAGAGGATAAATGTCCTCGCCTCTTTGTCGCCGGCGCTCCGGGGAGCTGCACGAGCGCTTTGGAGCCCTCTGAGGGGCTGCAGCTGGCAGGGGAGAAATGAAACAGCAAAACTGGGTGTTTTTAGTCCATCAGAAGGGATGTGTGAGGATGGGAATGTATTCTGGCGTGGTGTAATCTGCCCCAGGAGAGCAGGGAAGAGCACGTGTGCGCACGCACGCGAGGCTGGGCCGAACGCGCTCCCACGAAGAGCAGCGGGAGCAATCCTGGCCCAGGAGGAGCTGAAGTGGCTTTAGAAAGGATTTATTTCACATTCCTGGAGTTAACATCCAGGATTTTATTGTTCTTTCATTCTTTTAGTTTATACCATTTCCCCAGAACCAGATCTTGAGCTTTAAAGGTGGATAACCTGCCTGACCTTTATTTTTTTTAATTCTTCTGATAGCTTAGCTAAACCCTCAGCTTTAAGTAGGTGGAATAAATTGATTTTATTCCAGTGGGATTTTGATAACCACCTCTCTGATGAGGGCAGTCTGAGATAGAACAGCTTGTCTTAGGCATGTGAAATGGGATAATAAACTTTTCAAGAAGCAGAAATAACTTTTAGTCTTGCAACGGAAGTGCAAAGAAAAGAGAATCATTACCCAATATTCAGCTTTATAGGTCTCAAGCTTAAAACATTTAGATCAGGGTTCTGTAAGAGGCAGACTCATTATATATTTTTCACCATTTAAAACAGTTTGCCATGAGCAGCAGCTCTGTTTCCAGAATCCTGAGGAATTCCTCAGGGCTGATAAATTCCCACATTTCTCAGGGGACCCTGTGCTATCCATGAATCTGCCTTTCCAGAGGCTCCATGGCTCTCAGTAAGGATCTGTCCTAGCCCATATTATTTCTTTTTCCAGCTCTGTTTCTGCAGTGCAGGTTTTTTCCCTGGGCATACATTTACTGTTTATTAATTTATTAATTTCCTGTTTATTCAATATTCTTCCACTTGCCACTTTTTCCAGCCTAATCTCTGGAGATCTGAGAATTTCCAGAATCCCTGGAATTTCCAGAATCTCTGGAAATCTGGGCCGTGGCACTGCCTTCCCAGAGCAGCAATCTTCCCAGCTTAAAAAACAAAGGCAGCACTCAGGTGTTGGGGATGCTGCAAAGGGATTAAATTTTCTGAAATATTAATGATGTAGCAGATTTCTGGGCTGAAGTTTGCATCTCAAATCTATTGCCATTTCTAAAATTCATATTTAAGCTCATCCATAAGCCTTCCCACTAAATTGAATTTATTACATTCTCACTTCCAGGAAGCATTTAAAATTTACTTCTGGGTTTTTTATTATAATAATATACCCGTCTGTTAAATTTATGATATTCTTTAATTGGATGGAATATTTTCAATGAATAAATACCTTTATTCAAAGGAAAAAACTTCTCAAAGTTTTATCACCTTTGGAACTTTTTTAAAGGGAGGTGTCTGGGGGACAGGACCATGGAGAGAAAGAGGACAGGGGAAACAGAGCTGAGATGGAGAAGGTGAGGAGAGACTTCCTCTGCACACCCTTGTGCTTTGTGAAATATTCAGGAGGTTGGTTCACCCTTTTCCTCTTTTTTACTCTGCATTTCCATGCACAGTGAAAAAAGAATCCAAGCCTTAAAAGCTGTTATAAAATAACCCAGTCATTCTCCAACCAGCACTACCACAGATCATCAATATTTAATATTTCAGGATATTAAATATATTAAGACTAACATAAAGTTTAACTCCAGAGGAAGTGCTTATTACACTGTTAACAGGATGTTCCAAACTTTTCCATTACTGTTCTTGAAATTCATCACTTTCTCACAAAGCATTTCCATTTCCCATTCCAATGGATGTGAAATAGCAGAATAAATCCAGGTGATTCTGGCTGCTTCCAGCTGAAATAGATTTGTGCCCTTTCAGAGGTTCTTGTCCTTAATTATTCAAGCTTTTCTTGCCCTGCGTTATCCAATCTTAGATCTGAAGATATCAATGTGCCAGCTTTCACATTTTAAATGCTGCAAATATGCAAAATGCAGGATCTTTCAAGAGACACTCAAAATCAGAAGGAGAAAAATATGCCAATGCAGTGTTACCTTGATTTGATGTGTATTGTGAAATTTGCTTGATAATATCCCATCTCCATCTCATGGAGAAGAGTTTTCAGTAGCTGAGATCAAATGCTTCCAAAAATGAGGAAAGAACTCTCTAGAAGACTGAAGAAAGTTAATTTTTTTAACATTTAAATTATCATTCCAGTCTCTGATCATTAGGTTTGGTTCAGTATCTGATTTTTCCATACTACTTTTGATTTCTGGTTCTGACAATTCTGAGTTTTTCTATAATGTACATAGAGCTGCTGAGTTTTCCTAATTTTTTGATCTTCCTATTTCATTAATGAAATCTACAGGTAGAAGGGAACCTGTTCTTTTATGGATCTTGATTGTCCATTCATTAATTTAACTAAATGCTCTTGTGCTTTAAACTTTGAGAGAGCAACACCAGTAGTTGCCAATGTATTTTTCCTAAACTACATGCTGAAGGGAGTAACCCTAACATTTTCCTTTTTATTTATTTTTTTTTAATTTATTTTCATGGGAGTTTTGGCAAACAAAGCATTCCACTGAGCTCAGCCGTGTCCCGCTGCATCTTCTGCCCGATTCCTTTTAAAGGAGGAGCCTGCTGGACTCAAAGTTATAGAAAAGCATTTTAAGGCTTCTTTCCTGCTCTTTCCTGAATTTTTGGGTGCATCACCACATCCCTGTCTTGTGTTGACATCCCTAGACTGAAACCCTGGCAGGGACCTGGATCTGTAAAACTGTAAATGTTGGGATGTCTCTGGTGAAACTTTTTGATTTTAAAGAAGGTTCAGCACTGAACTTGGAACTGTTGTCTTGGTGTTTGGCTGCATCTTAAAAACCTCCAAGGAAAGGGATTCCTCAGGTCTTGGGAAAACCTCTTCCAGTGCTTAATTTCCCTCGTGATGAGTCATTAATCAATTATTTCCATACATGGGGGTTCATGACAATATTTAATTTTGAAACAAATGATTTAATTTTTATCACCTTGTTACATTTCTGTTATCCAGCCCAGAGCAAAGCCCATTTTTTGTATCATTTGTGTCACTACAGAGCGTGGGTTTGAGTGTCTCCAGCTATTGATTTGAAAAGATTTCTGTATTAATAATCTAAAAGAATAGACTCAAGTTAAAAACCAATCCAGCTTTCCTGCCTGGGCATCTTGAGTGGGAATGAGAGCTAATCAGCATTGATGTGCTTCAGAATTTTGTGCTGTAGATGAGGAAAAGTTGAATCTAAAGTATTAAAAACCCCCACAATCTTGCTATCATTTTAATTTATTGATATTAGAACATTTTACCCCACCCACAGCACATTAATTAAACTGTAGATGAGATTTTTGTCATGTTATGACTCAACACCAAG